AACTCCTAATCTATAATATCCTGTTTTCTTGTTACATAGATAGGATTTCTTTTAGCCGCTCTTCGAAATGGGCAAGAACACGATATTCAAGTTATGGGGTTATGCTACTGAAAAAAAAACACAAAAAAAAACGTTTGATTTAAGATTTTATGGTAATCTTTACCAGTAGTGCCAAGAATTGTGGACTAGGTACTACTAGGACTAGGTAATGCTGCTCAATCAAAATATCAAAATCTTATCTTTTACCTGAACTTCCTGTGTTGGTGTCAAGGTTTAGTTGCCATAAATCACACCTTCAGTCATATTCAACTACATTTTTATCTCTATAAAAGCTTCTAGCTGCTAGATCTCATGAATATGTGCAATGCATTCAGTCAGAGAAGAGATCTTTGTTATTATACTTTCATGAATAATATAATTTTCAGAACCGCCGAGTTACATTTGGCAGCACTGGTGACAGATGGGAGATTTCTCTCCAGGTTTGAATTAAGTCTGGTTTTGGTTTCAGATTGCCCCTTCCTCAATGGATGGGCTGTAAAGATTTTATGGTTTGTATTACCTCTGACTCAGAGAGCAGGTAAAGGAAACCTCTGGTGGGCTGAAATGAAGCAGAAACAAGCACAAAATTAGAATTAGAATCCAGTGGTAGAGGGAAAGATTTGCAATCTTAATTAGATGCAAATACTTCAACTCAGATAACTGTAGCCAAATTGAGAAATCTGTAAATATACCAACAGTAATGAAGCCCAAATCACTGCCTTAAGGTAAACACTCACTTAACAACCATTGGCCAGTATTTATTATTAATATATAAATTACCCATGTTTTGCAGCCTGTTATTGAAATGTAGACATATTTGTATCAGTACATCTCAGGGATGGCCTGAACAGTGATACTTAAGCGATAAAGTGTCCCATTTGTATTTTAACACAGACTTAGCTATTAAGACTAAAAGCAAAATTATGTTCATTAGAAAAACATTCAATATAAAATGCATGCAATTTTCCTAAAAAATGACTTTAATAGGTCTATACAAAGTTACATTATTATCACAATATATATGTAGAATAAACTGACCACAAATGTCACGTCAAGAAAAGACTATGTACTCAAAACTCCAATTCAAGTCATTCACTCTATGCAGTTAATGTGAATCAATATATACGTTTAAACAACTGAACAAATTCAGCTCATTGTCTAATGCCGTCTGTATAAAAGATTTATATTAAAGGCAGCCCAGAAAATTGCATTGCACTGCTGGCTCTGCAGCAGTTCCTCATATTGAGGAATTGTTGGTAAGAATAGAAAGGGACAATATGAAGAAACCTCCAACAGAGCAAAGCTTAATGAAAAGGAACACAACAAAGCAGCTTTAAAGCTGGTTTAATTTGTTTAAACCTGATATCAGCCCAGTTTGTCCTGACATGCTTTCTGCTCCATGTAGGCTCCTGTAGGTGTTTAAAGTTGGATTTAGCCGTGTGCATTTGTCTCGAGATGTGAAAACAGATCGGATGTTAAAAAAAGAATGCAGTGGCTTATTATCCAAAGAGAAGCTGCAAAGTGAAATAACTCAGCGCTGACTCCAGAATGTCCCAGACTTTATTACACTATATTTAAAAAAACCATAAACTTTTATAATGGAGTTTTCCCGCTTGTCAGAATGATGTCATTAACTAGATTATGCTCTCCTCCATGTACTGGTTGGCATTTTTAATAACCATCTGTGGGCATAGACATCCTCTGTAATGTAGACATGAGCCTTTAAATATATGCATTTTTGTTAAAAAAAAATCATAATTACCATTTTTCTTCTCCACAACGATTGTAAAATATTTCCATTTTTACAGCAAAAAATCAAGATGGTAAAAAGGTTGTTCAAGCATAACAATCATTCACTGAGCTTTCTTCCTTGTGGATGATGAAAAGTGTGCTTTTTTCACACAGAGAAGGAAATGCATACTTAAAGTTTCTCTTAGCACATTTATGTTTTCTGAGAAAATATCGGTTCCCTCTTCAAGAAGAGGCCAGCATATTCTAATGGGTTTTCTGGAGACACTAAGGCCTAAAATTAAAAAAAAAAAAAACAAACATATTGTCAATGTATATTTAGGTATTTCAAAACAATGCAACATGTAAATCATGGTGCTGGCAGCATCATTATCTGGGGATGCTTTTCTTCAGCAGGGACAGGGAAGCTGGACTGGTTTATAATACTGCAATATAGCAAGAGCCCATTGCACCCCTAAAAGATGGTGCCAGTGAAATAATTATTGAAGAATGAAAGATTTAGATATTTTTATGTAGTTATTGGTCAGTAATTAGTTGTTATTGCCACACGCTTATGTGCTGAGACTGAACTCAGAGTTTCAGTCTGATAGTCTCCTCTTTTCAGATGACTGGATGCAGCCTTCCTTTCCAGAAAACGTAGCCAATTTGACTCAGTCATAATTAAGGCTGAAGTGGCAATGCCAGGAATGTTTGCCATTTCTCCTCTTTTATTTCTGACGGATTCTCATTTTATGATTACTCTCGCAAAGTAATAATTGCTGCACATATTTCCGAAATGGGTGGAATGTGAGGCAATTAGTTTTAATGATGTGCAAGACAAATCTGCACGACAGCAATTACTGTGACAATGTGTTCAGCAGCCCAGAGGCAGGACCCAGAGACAAATGGAGATGGTCAACGGCAATGTACGCCACGGGCGCACATGCTGCATGTGAGGCCATATGTCGGGCCTTGAGTCACTGACCTGTCTGCTTTGTTCAGCACAGGCGACATGTTTGTCTCCTGTCATCACCGGGACTCACAGATGAAAACGGGTCATTTGTTCTCACACGTTGTCCCCCTTTCACCATAATACCCGAGGAATCAATGACCTTTTTGATCTGATTCTGCATCCAGGGCTTGAGTTTGAGCAGATATCGGGTTCAAGTCGGCAGCATTTAGACAGCCCATACTTTAGCTAGCTGGGGTATTTTACTTCTTGCCAAAACAAAATACAGGCAATCCCTACTTTATCTACTTTATGCCATAATGGAAAATTTGGATGACTTACCAAGTTGTACAATTCCCAACCACATCTCTCTAAATGTGTACAATTAATAACAAAAAAAACAAACAAAAAAAAAACGGTTATGCTTCCAAAAGTGTAGTTAAATGTAATATTTATAAAACTTAGATGATGTGAATCATGTTTGCTTATTGCATTTCTTTTGTCATAGGCTGATGCTGCACATAGAAGAAGACTTTAATGTAGTCATAGATGGGAAACTTATCTGGTCATTGTTTGTAGGATCCATATCATAACAAGCGACCAGAGTCTGAACAGCAATGCAATAACAGGAAGTGTTGAGCAGGTATGGAGTGCTGTTCTCAACCAGTTCTGTCCCTTTTGGCTGCCAGTTCGAGCCGTGGCACCGATCCTGCCTGCGATCCGTCAGCGTTCACAGCATCTGTGTCAATAGCATTCCATAGCTGTTGACAGAGCGCCGCTGTTTGCTTTAGCCACCGCAGACCAGTGGCCTAATGTACTGGTTGAGGACAGTGTCGTAAATCCTCAAGTGCTGTACGCTCCAGTCATTGGTGACACTAGGTCAGCTTGCTTGTTTTAAAATGGGTACCACAGTGTCTTTCCTGATTTAAAGTAAATGGAGTGTAAAGGCAGGCCCCAGTAGAGAGATACTGATTATCTTCCTTTGACTGTGAGGTACCTTGATCACGCTGTGTTTGCAGACAGGTGGAAATATCACATACTAAGCACAAGCTTTGTCTGACATGCTTTGTATTCTTGAAAAATCTTTAGACATTAGGAGTATGGAAAAATTACCATCCTACCAAGGTATGGCCATTCATTTCAACTAACAGACTTGGTAAAGACTGCATAAATCAGAGAAGCAGTCAAGATGCTGATGGCAACTCTGGAGGATAGGAGAAATCTGCTATGAAAGATAATATATTGCTATGATAACTATTAGTTGTGCTCTCCACAAATCTGGTTTTTATGGAAGAGATATGTTTTTCTTGTCTGGGAAGCTGGTTAGAGCTGAAGGGGGAAACATGAATGGAGTCAATATTGGGATTTGCCAGAAGAAAATCTGCAGAACTCTTGAGAATGGAGCAAAGATTAACCTTCTAGCATAAGGCTACTATTAAATGGTTTAGCTCAAAGCTTATTTGTGTTTTAGGACGGTTCAGTGAAAGTCCAGATTCAGGAATCTGTAGCATCCATCCAAGCTGACTGAGCCTCAATTACTTTGCAAAGACAAATGCGAAATCACTCAGTCTCTAGATGTACAAAATTGATTAAGACGCCAAAAGACTAACTGTGGTAACAGCAGTGAAGGGTGATTATACAAGGTATTGATTCGGGGTTGTTGAATAGCAATGCATTCCACCCTTTTCTGAGTGTTTTTGTGCATACTTGTAAATCACATCCATTATTTTCCCTTTACTTCACAATTTTGTGCTGTTTTGGATTGGTCCTTCCCATAAAGTCCCATTAAAATTCCTTAGGGTAGTTGGATTTTCTGAGTCTGCCTCCAGCAAACAGTGTTACTTTTTTTAACCCATTTATGACCTCTGTATTTTTATGGCCTGTTTTTAAACGGCCATTCATTACAGTGAAAGAACGCGCTTTATTCTTGATTAGAAGCAAAACTGACAGAGTAGAACTGCCAGCAGCACTAAACTAATCCACAAGCTTGTTTTACAGCTGTACCTCCTGCAGAATTAATGTAAGCGATCATTTACATTTAGACTAAACAAGGCTGGCTAAAACCTCAGAACTAACAGAACCAGACAACCCCGCCATGCTCTTTACAAAATGGAAAGCATCAAAATGACTCAAAAGTTAAATAAGAGGCCTTTTTATTGAATCATTTCACTATGAGCCACCGTGCTGAGATCAGGAAAAGCCATTTCTCCTTCATACAAGGGGCCATACGCGCCAATGTGTGCTGCTGAGAACATGATTCCCCTCTGTGCTCTCTCTCCCCCAGCTGACTGCCAGCCCCCCTGTCAGAACCGCGGCTCCTGCAGCCGACCACATACTTGTGTGTGCCGCTCAGGCTTTCAGGGTCCCCGCTGTGAGGAGGTGGCCCCCGAGCAGGTGTACATTCGTGAGCGGGGCACTCTGAGGCGCATTCAGCCAGGCACCAAACCCTTCCAGAGAGACCCACCACAGAGAAGACCCTTGGAGAGGAAGGCCGCAGACACCACCAAGCTCCAGACCCCGCGACCTGTGACCACCAAGCAGCCTGCCCAGACTGTGTAAGTAGCTCCACAAATGTTTCTCGTCATATCCAGAAGGGCTTTCACACTCGTGTCATATATGTTAGTCTATGTAAGTCGTCACGATCTGAAGTGTATTTACAGAGTACGTAAAGCTTTCTCTTGGTAAACTGCTTTAATTTGCTTCCTAAACATGCTGTATTTGTTAACTCTGCAAGCAAATTCACAGATGGGAGCTATTCCACTGAAATCAACAGATTTTTTTTTTTAGCTGTTGAAATTGGCTGAACATTTGTGCTTTCATTTGCTCTTAATGAGAGTTTGGATTAGTTTTGATCCAAAAATATGATGAACAATCCATTTCAACGTGCAGTTTCTTTTTATTTTGCATAATATATTCATTTTTATAGCTACCATAACTTTTCATGAAATGCTGTCATGCTGAAAGAAAACATACCATATGAAATAAAGTTTTTATTAAAAAGAACTGCAGAACACTTACACCCATGATCTGCTTGTGTTTATTCCTTTAAATTATAGATAGATCGATCAGAATTTTGTCGCCTATTTCCATTCTCTGTCTGGCTTTGTACAAAATTTGATCATCCATGTATATTTCTGAAATTATTTTAATTTAATCCTGTTCCGCTGTTTGGACCAGAACTCCATGGAAGGAGAAATGTATTTCAGTGGGACTTTCCTGAGAAATACTGTAGCTTCATTTATGTTTCCTCACATGGCAGATGATGCAGTTTCTTTTCAAAAAGCTTCTTACATCATCACTGAAACTGGAAATAGCCATTTTTGAATCTTTCTTATGGAATGTGGAGGATTCATTGTTTGAATCCTGAGTTGCTGTCTGACCGGTCAGGGCCGATCAGGCTGAAAATCATCTGAATCCAGTCACCAACTTGATTCTCCGGTTACATACATCTTCTTTCCAGACATGGCCTCCATAAAACTTATGTAGAACATTAATTATAGAAGCAGCTAAGAAGCACCAACTAGCCCACAAATCTGATCTGTATGGAAGAATAATAATAAGAAAGGAACACATATTAAGTCCCATTTGCTATTTGCCTCAGAACATTTAGGGAACACAGAATAATGTACTGCATCATTACCATCATTGTGAAACATTGGAGTGGCAGCATCATGCTGTAGGGAACTTTTCTCCATCTTGCACACTTGAGTCTGGACAGGCTTCCTGGAGATAAATGGAGGCATGAAAGAAAACTTCTCGATACGGTTTGAATGTTATGATTCCATACATTTTGCGCTCCAGTGTAAAATAAAATATTCCACAAAGCAGGTAATCTTTCGCTGCTTTTAAAAAGTCATACTTAAAAATCTCTTAGTTTTAATCTTCAAAACATTAGAAAACTTAGTGGCTTTCCAGACAGATGTACTAATCCATACTGCTTGACGGAAAAAGTTGTTTTGAAATGCATTTTTTGGGGGTTTGTGACTGCTTCAGTTTTTCTTTGATTTTTTTGGAGCAATGGTGACTGTTATGTATCCAACTAATAATTACCCAGACAAAGGTTTCTTTCAGTGCGTTCAGCTTATTCTCCAAAGACTGCTAATCAGACAAGCTTAATAGTTTCTTGGCCTGGATGTCTGATTGTTTAAGACTCAGTCTTGTTGGAAATTGCATTTTTGGTTTGATTAATGACTGCCGCGGTCACAACCATATTTCCGATTAAGGAAAAGCAGGGTAATTGATTTCCGGAGTGTTTTGATGAAGATTCATATTGCTTACAAGCCCTGACTTATCTTGTCAAATAGTTATCTGTTTTGACCTTGTGCCCAGCAGTTTTCTAGTTGTTTATGTGCTACAATTTATTTGGGCACTAAGGTCATAATTTACTAATTTACCAGTTTGTCATTTTGGTAATTTCTTTCTACCAAACCACAGACACATTTTTAATTATTTCTGACATTTATGATGATTCTCCTGCTAATTAGCGAAAGTCTTATGTCATTTTGAGCTCTTGCTGGTGTTGTGGAATGATGATGGCAAAGGCAACCACGTGCTTGTGGTAGCTCAGTGAAACGCGGCTAAATATCTTGGCATTCGCTTCACAAAAACACATTTTCTACATCCTCCTTCCCTAAACAATTATCTCGAAGTCATAGTAAATCTTCTAATCAATACAAGATCTCTGGAGAGTGCACAGTTGCTATGCATATGTTTTCTTTGTTCTCGACTCACAGGACATATTTGTGTTCTGAGTCACGGATCTGGGGTAAATAGAAGTAGACTGGACTGCAGGCATAACGCTCCGAGGAGCAGACAGTGTTCCTGAATCACAAATACCACCACAATGACTCTGTTTGCTGTCATGTTTTTGCTGAAGCTGACTAATCCCGTAGTCCGTCCGATTCAGTCTTTCCAGCTAACTGAAGAATAAACTGCAGTAATCAGTGTACTTAATCATTTTCAGCTCTGACTAAAAACTTCAGCTTAAATTGTCTACACTTTAACACTAATCTGATATTTATTTGAACACTTGCCCCGCTCTTTCCAGTAAGGTACTGGAGCCCTTGTGAACTACCGTGCTTTTTTTTTTTCTTTTCGCATTCCCTCAGTCCATAACGATCTTTCAGGGGTGGAACCGTGCTCCCTCGGGGTACACAGCGGATGCAACTCGTGGTTTCAAATATCAGGTTGAAGATCCACCGCTTCCAAAGCCTGGAAAGCACGAGCGATGTGAGGTCACGGAGACTAAGAGTCAGAAAGCGAGACCAGTGCCAAGACCTAATAAAGGAGTCTGAGTAGGCAATTAGAGAGGTTAGGTGCTCGAGAAAAGATAGATTATATTGGCTTTGCATCCTACTTTTTTTTTGAATCGACAGGCAAAAGTTGCATTATGTATTCAGCAACTATTTATTTTCTTTTGTTCAAGAGACACTAAGAGGTACAATGCTTGTCTTGTTTACAAGAGAATTGGCTTATTATGCCAGCAGCATTTTCAAAATGACTCAGCTTGGCAAGTGGTATCAGGTAAATAGTAGAGCGAAGGACAAACCAGAAGGAAGAAAATGGAACGATGGCATGTTCTTTATTTGTATTTTTATTTTTTTGATCTTGTGGGTTTGTTCTGCTGTTACATCTGAATTTCCTCAATGTGAGACAATAAAGGACATTTCTTCTCTGTTCTATTGGAACATTTTGAGAAACTGTCCTGAATATACTTTAAGCTATCTTTTCACTCTTATTATATTGTAGTTTTAATCTTCACCGTGGAGAGGAAGTCAGGTTTTTTAATCAAGCTTTAGGTTTTTCTTTGTTGATGAAAAGGTTGTTTCAACCTTAAGAAAAGAATTCAACATCATTTTACTCCTGACGCAGCAAAAAGTAAATGTTTTAGTCCTTCTAGTAAGATGCGAGAGAAATTAGCTGAGTGATTTGAGTTTTTTGTAGTTTAATGAAGCATAGTGTGAAACATATTGTTGCCCCTCCTCCATTTGTGACTGTACATACAACTCAGCTGGCTGAATAAAAAGGCAGCTACACTTTTACCTCAGTTTCAAGAAATACAATTTCGGCTGTTTGGTGATATTTTCAGTTATAGCTGCACAACCTACCGAATCACAATCATCAAAATATATCTTTTGTCAGTTTATGAATTGGAGACTCCAATGTTTGCCTTGAAGTCAGATTTTAAGTTTAATGCATTTGCACTTTGCATGCAAACTACATATTTGGATAGCCTCAAACCTCCTTTGTTGTACATCAGTTTACAAAAAAAGTAGAAAATTTGTAATGATGGAAAAGATAGAAAAGCTAAGGAAAATGTGGGTTGGTCATGATCAAGATCATCATTGTGATATTCACCATTATTTTCAAGTTAAATATTTTTCTAGCATCGCCTCACCCTGTTTCTGGTGCTGAAAATAAGGGGCAATAATAATTTAAAGCTAAAGAATTGCCACCTAAAACTGTGGTTTAGAACTACAGCTGGCAAGCCATGAGAGGCATTTCTGTTCATCAGCCAACCCAAGCAGAGAGAATGACTGATTAACCACTTAACATCAGCTCGTAAAACTTGTTATTTTGTACAGAGCAGAACAGTAAAAATGGATAATATTCTGTGCATTTGGAAATGACCTCAAAATTCAGGTCATTTCCAATTCAGATCAAACACATTTGTGATAAACAAATGTGTTTGATCACATTTGTTCGTTATTTTTACTTAAACCTCTGTACCAGCATCAAAATGCTAAATAAAATTGTCATAACTAGCATTTAGATCATGGTATACATTATAAGTGCTGGAAGCTAAACAATGGTGAATGAGCCAAACTCATTCTGATTCCCTGACACCAAACAAAACCAGGATTCACAAAAAGTAACACAACACCTCAAGTCTTCATTGAAAAGAAAACAAAAATTGAATTTCTTTTGAGATTTTAAATCAGTTTCTCCTCTGGCCTCTTTTATGTTTTTGTCAGTCGTCCAAATATGCTTGTTTGATCAATGAGGAACAACAGAATGATTTATAAGGAAGCTCCAGGCCAGAGTTTCAAAACCCCAACAAGTGAGGAACAAGTACATTCTCAGGCATAGACTTTAACTGTTTTTCCAGTGTCACACGTTGTTTCTGTGATGTCTTTGATGTGATTTCAAAAAAGTCCTTTTGATGATTTACAGCCGTCTTTACATCTGGCCACCAAAGAGCATTTTTGACCTTCGACTTAAATGTCTTGTGATTCCTAAAGCTCAGCAATAAAGGGTTTGTGGTCCCTGTCAACTCCAGATCCTGCAAAATCCAGTGTGAAGGTCGGGGGTTAGTGGTGGACACTCCTGGTTCAGCTGAAACGGTGTTAATTCACACAGGATGTAGTCACCACCTGAGCCCCTCATATCATCTCCACTCACCCCGCTGTTCTCTGACATCAGCTCTCTGCAGGAAACAGAAATGGGCAGAACATGATGTGTCAGCCTGCTAAGGTCATCTCTGTGGTCTTGCTTACATAACCACTCAGGACGGCTGCCAGCTGGTACCTGAATAACAGAGCCGTGCTGCTGATAG